ACCCTATGGTATAGGTCCAGAACCTATGCTGAGTGAAAGCAGCCAATCACAAAAGGGGAAAATATTATATAAGACCGCTGTTATAGGGGAATAAGAACAACTTCAAGAACAAAGGAAACAGACTTTGGAGTCTGACAAGGAGGAGAGGACAAGGGAGGGAAGATGGAACAATGGATCACACTGCTGACATGTGTTAACTTGAGTGAAAAGGAAAATAGAAGTCCACAAGACATAGAAATCAGGGAGGAGTTGAAGGCTAAACTGTGGGATGAGTAGTTTAAATAGGTGAACACAAAGCTGATGATATGAAATGTAATTTACATAACTAATTTATAATTAAAATAATAAAGAATTGTTAACACTAAATCATACAAATGTTAGGATTTGTAAAACTTTTATTAAAAAGACTTTAAAACAAGAAAGGTTTTCTTTATTTATTAAAAAGCGAAATTCCTTTACCTGTGAGGATCCTGGAGTGCCGAGTAACTGACTATTTAGTAGCATATGATCAGGACATGCAGGCTGTGAAAAACTGATCCCTTGTACCAGTTTATCAATGTTTGAGGGACTGCTGTCCCATAAGGAAAGACCTGTCCGTGGTTCCGGCTGGGAGCTGGAGTACTTCACGCTTTCTTCACTGAGGCATTAAAATAAGAGGGAGAAATGTTTTCAGTAAAATCTATCATAACTTTCTAGTATCACACTACTATTTCCAGTGATATTACATTCATTATTACGAAAAATATGGATATATATTATATTTCTCATGAAGAATATTATCAGCAATCATTTGATCCTTGTTGGTCTTACCTATTTGCACTAGTTACTGGAGAGAAGTCCAAATTGGATTGAATGTGCTTAGAAAATCCACTTGGAGACTCTGATACCCCTCCTGAAGTGACCTGGGGCCTCCTTGGCACTTAGAAAAGATAAATACATACGCTTTCAAGTCTTCTATGAAGATTTCTTTTTAATTAACCCAACCAGCAACTTACAGAAATAACATCATATCTGAATACATCATGCCTAAATACAAAGTACAAGATATTTAAGCATGCTCCAAATGTGGAGGAGCATGCTAAAGCTATAATTTTAATGGCAAGATCTATAGTAATAGACCAATGTCAAGAAAGAGAAAAGGCCAAAGGAAAATAATTTATTTAAATAAAAATAGAATATGAATTTGCTACATCTATCATTCTTTGCTCTCTTGGCAAGCCGATAATGCGTATAGACATGGTTAGACTCCCAAAACCAAGGCATTATGTAAAAATTTGCATTTTGCAAAAATGGAATAGGGGCACCTCAGATCCCAAACTGGAGGATGGCTACGTCATTACCCAACAGTCAAAATTAACTCATTACATAACTGCCAAAATTATGATCATGGCATGTAAACTGGGAAAAAATGGTCCCTTGTACTAGTTTATCAGCGTTTGAGGGGACGGTCTCCCATACAGACCTGTCCATGGTTCTGGCTGAGGGCTGGAGTACTTCCTATCTTCACTACCAAAGTGCATCGTTGCATAACTGCCAACACGCTCGAAACCATGGCCCAGCCAAGCTGACCATCACACCCAGTGTTACTTTCACCTCAGACTTCAGAATTCATTACTGCCAGATGTCTGTCAATAATGTGCAAAATAGTCATATTTTTTACCATTGTCGTAAGTGTGAAGGGTCAGATACCAAGATAGTGAAGAACAGGTGCATTTTTTTCATGGTTACTACCCTCACCTGGACATTGCTAGTTAATTCTGTTTCTCTATTCCGTTTATTCTGCCTTACTCCAGAATGAATTATTTCCGAATTTCTACATTCTTTTTGAATTTCCAAGACCACCTTCCAGTACCTCATTACTCTTAACATGATACGATCCACTTCGTAGACAAAACAAAGCCATTAGATTAAAACTCCCTCAATTTGCCACTGCCAAATTTGTTGACACACTTGCAAACTTGAGCATCCCTTCCTCCTCATACACTTAGTATAAATGTTTTTAACCTCTTCCTATCAAAAACTATGGAAAAACGTATAGCAAAAAAGATCTTTTAAAATCAAACATATAATCATGCTATATCTTGCTTAAAATCTAAGAGCCCAATGGCCTTATAGTAAATTCAAAATCCTTAATATATCTTACAGGCCCTCTCCACAACTTTGCCACCATCACACTCCAGCCTTACCTGAAATCCTTCTCCTCCCTTTCTAGTCACTCATTATTCAACAAATATTTTACTAAATGCCTGAAAAATACCATACACTGTGCTGTACACTGGTGCTACAATGGCACCATACACTGTTGTACACTGGACCATACAGAAATACCACACACTCTGTTGTACACAGGTGCTCCAGATCTACAAAATAGATATGGTCTCTGTCCGTTTTCCAAAAGCACACTGAATAAACTCCAAAACTAACATGCTGCTTTCTCTGCTCAGAATCAGATCTGCCATTCACCTTGTCTGGCTAGCTCCCTTTTAAACTTCATCTTTCAGATTTTATGTCATTTCCTCAGGAAAGCAAACCTTCTCCGTCCCCTAAGACTTGGTCAAACACTTAGCTATAGTACCCTGGTTTACCCTTTATGTAGTAATAAAATTATTTTTTACATTTCCTTTTTTTCTATTACATATGAAAACATCCATCAGAAGAGACCACATCTATCTTGTGTTGTTCATTTGTGATGCTGCTGACTCTACAAGTACTATTCTTTCGTAGATAAAAAGACTTAGCATTTGAAGGTTACCTTTCTTGAGTGGTTTGTTGTACCATCTGTCTTTTTTTATGTCTGGTATAGTAATCCTTACAGATGGATTTTCAACTAAAATTTTATGCAGCAGAGCTATAAAAAAAATTAAGACAACATTTACAAGAGTCATGCAGATTAGATGGGCTCAATATTAGGAAAGAACAACCCTAGAAAGAACATCTTGTTTGGTAAAAAAATCAACAAAAACCAGGGAAAACCTTAAAGTGAGGATTCACACAACAACCACAACAGTGAGCTCAAACATCATGAAGGTGGAGGAGGACCGGACTATGTCTATTTCTGTGAGACAGAAGATTGCCATGAGTCTGAGGCAACTCAACGCAACTGAAAACAATGTGATTGTTGGAGAGGGCACATTTTCTATTGGCCTTATGTCCAAATATCATTTCTGGAGAAAAGAGAAGATAAAGCTACTGTATTGTTGCTTTAATTTCAGGCAGGTCTTCATTATTGCTGTGCATTCTCAGGCTGTTTCTCACAGCTCTAATTCTTAATTGCATGCAAATAAGCAGAAAGGTAAGCAAGAGAAAATGCTTCTCCTACATGGCAATATTAACAAACACTGCCTCGGCTGGTGGATTCAAACCACCAACTTTTGGGTTAGCAGCCCAATGCTAACCAAAGTCCGCCACATCACCAGCCTTTAAAACATTTATGTAAACCTAAAATTATAGTCATGGAAAAATGCTCACAAAGAACATCAAAAAACTACATTATAAAATAGCATGTTTTTCTAAAACCACACATATTTACATAATATTATGTATATAAGAAGCACATATTAAGCATACATTATCATACAGTCTTCAAGTCATATTAAAATATAAAATTATAGGGATGTTTTTCACTTACTTTGAACTTCTAATTTATCTACAAGAAACATGGATTACTTATGTGAAGTTTTTTAAAGTTAAAAAGAAAAAACATAGATTAAGAAAAAATATTCAAAAAGCACTAGACTTCACTTATCTAAGAACTCAGTACTTTGAATCAGTATAACCCACTTACCTAGAGGAGCAGAATCAATTTTTTTCCAAGGGTTTAGGTAAGTTTTTTTTTCTTTCCAATCAAAATATTCCTGACAACTGTCAGTGGGCTGGTCCCATGGCAATTCTATAAAAGAAAGTCCCAGTTTTCTGAATATTCATATCAAAATATACTAGAGATTTTTAGGGGTGGGAGATTTCTTCCAATTAGTATGCTTTTTCAATAATATCAACTCAAAGGAATTTCAGAAGTACTTCAAAGATGAATGCCTTAACTTCTCATGTAGTAACATGAATTTTACAGATATTTTTCATATAGTAGCTATAATATCTTATTTTTAGAAATGTTTGCGATTAAACATTATAGATTTCAATACAACATATGTGACTTTTCAGAGGACAGGAGTTTTATTTTATCATCATTAAATAGTTCTTACCTCCAGCCAACATTGCAGTAAGGACTATTCCACAAGACCAAATATCAACTGGTTCTGCATTAAATTCTTTTCTCTTTAAAAGTTCTGGAGCGACATAAGGTAAAGTACCACACATCTTATTTAGTAAGCGCTCACGATTATTATGCCGAAACACTGTTGCCAAGCCAAAGTCAGAGATTTTGAGGTTATCTATACCAATAGGAAGAAAAAAGAAAACTTGGTAAAAATACTCTATAAATATACCTGGTTAAATCCAAAAGTGTTGCTACAGAACCATGATACTATTAAATAGAAATATACAAATGTGAAACTATTATTTATTGGCATATCCTCCCATCCAGGTCCTATATAGTTCTGAAGATAGTTTTTGCATGTACTGAAGTGGTCAAGGATTTCACTTTGCTTGAGTCCACAGTAATTGCTCATGGGAACCAAAAGTCATGAAATTAAATGACATTGGGCAAATCTGCAAAAGATTTTTTCACAGTGTTGAAGAACAATATGTCATTCTGAAGACTAAGTGTGCCTGACCCAAGCCAGGATACTTCTCATTGCCTAATATGCCTATGAAGGTTGGACAATGCCCATCAGTAGTCATTTGAATACCCCCCTCTCAGAACGGCCACAACGAAGAGAAGAGCCAGTCCGGGTGCAGTATAGCACCGATGAAACATACAACATTCCTCTAGTTCTGTAAGGCTTCCCTCCCTCCCCCGCTACCATGACCCCAAATCTATCTTACCAATCTGACTAGACCAGAACATGTATACTGGTACAGATAAGAGCTTGAAACACAAGGAATTCAGAACAGATAAACCCCTGAGGGCTAAGAAGGGGAGCAGTGATACTAGGAGGGCAAGGAGGGGTGGGGGAACCGATCACAATGTTGCTCAACCTTGAAGAGAATGATACACACAAAATGCGTCATTGTGTAGGAGGGGAGGCAGGGGATGGTAGCACAGAGCAAGCTTCAAAACAATGATCACATCAGGTTTCACGTTAGTGGGCATTTTACCTCTGCTTCCTAACTTTCTTTCCTTTTTTAAAGCATTTTATTGGGGGCTCTTACAGCTTTCATCACAATCCATATATCCATTGTGTCAAGCACATTTGTACATTTGTTGCTATCATCATTTTCAAAACATTTTCTTTCTACTTGAGCCCTTGGTATCAGCTCATTTTCCCCCTCCCACCCTCCTACTTTCTAATTTTCATGGACATTACATATATATTAATTCTTAAGTATTAAATTAAACAAACAAACGAAACCTCAAACTCACTACAATCGAGTCGATTTCTACTCACAGCAGTCCCCTACAAGGCAGGAAAGAACAGTCCTAGTGGGTTTCCAAGACTATAATTCTTTATGGGAGTAGAAAGTCTCATCCTGTTCCCCAGACACATGGCTGGTGGTTTCAAACTGCTGACCTTGAGGTTAACAGTTCAATAAGTAGCTATTATGTAATAAACCTTAAAACATTGAAAATGATGATGGCAGCATACGTACAAATGTGTTTCACACAATGGATGGTTGTATGGATTGTAATAAGAAATGTAAGAGCCCCTAGTAAAAGTATTTTTTTTAAAGCCAGTGTTTGAGACGCTGGAAATCTATTACCAAAAGTTATGAATGAAAGGCATACTGCAATTAGTGCTTTTTGAGATTACTTAAGGAGCTTGATGGCACAGTCAGTGAGTTAATCATTACACTGCGAACTGCAAGATCAGTGGTTCAAACCCATCAGCTGCTCTGTAAGAGAAAAAAGAGGCTGTCTGCTCCTGTAAAGAATTTACAACCTAGGAAACTCTATGGAGCAAGTTCAAGGCCATCTTATGGGTTGCTGTGGGTCACAATCCACTCAATAGCAGTGGGTTAGAGGAACTCAAATCATGTGATTTTTTAATGTTCTTTGAGTGCTGGGTATAGAAGGAAGAAGCCTGAAAGAACAAGATCAGCACTACAGAATGGATGAGTCAAGGTTTCTCAAGGAAATTCTTTTCGGATAGTCCCTGCTACTGTTAAAGAATGAGCAGGTGAGAGAAAAAAAAAGAAGAATGAGCAGGTGTATTGTTGTGATGGGGAAAAAATTCCTTGGAGTAATTTTCCTGACTTTTTCTCATCAGTATAGTTGTCAATTTTCCTAAAAGTTCTTCATCATAAACCATATGATCATCCTGTGTCCTTTGAGAAAATCTCTCAGGATTATCCTTGTGGCGGGCCCCAAAACGATCACTAAACCTTCTGCACTGATCTCTCTGCCATGAACCTAATTGGTCTAACAGATCAGTTCATAAGTCAGTTTTGACTGGACCTTTTTATTCTGAAGGTACCTTAAAGGAGCTAAGACAAGTGTATTGCTAATATAACTTGTCTGTAGCCATCCACTGACTGAAGGGACATATTTAAACACATTTTGTTTGGAATGAACAAACACACACACATATAAATTGGAACCCCAGTAGCAATCTTCTTGACTTACCCTGGTACAGGAAGTATTGGCTTTTATTGGAAAATCACTGATTTAAGACATGTAGTACTCATCCCCCTAAGAATAACCAATATAAACAAAAAGAAATAAAACCAGCAAAAATATTACTAACTATGCTAAAACAAGAAAGAGGCTTGATTCTCATCTATCAATTTAGAGAAATGCCACTGGAACACAAACTATTTTGGCCTAAGTTAAGAAATAGGCTGGTGTCTTTAAGGGAGCTGACCTCCTGAAAAGGCGCACTTGAAACTTTGGATGAGAGAAAAAGAGCTAACGTTCTATGTGGGAAACAGAAGGATTTCTCCCAAGTTGTCTCCCCCAAATATATGCCAAACTCAGCTGCTTGCGAATGACTATAAACTTGGAGGTCATCAGAAGTAGATCAGGGGGGCTTAAGTGGAGAGGAAATGTTTTGAGAATGAATGTACAAATGCACTTTACACAATTGAGGTGTGTATGGATTG